CTGAACCAGTTTCTATTTAATGTATTAAACCACTTTCTACTGTGATACTTCAGTGAAATAATTGATCTTCATGGAAAAACAGACAATGGCATTCGAAGTAGTATTAATAGAGATACTGTTGGTGGACATACTCAGTTTGGTTAAAACAATTCTTATGCTAGAATTCTAATGTTGAACAGTTTGAAAAAAAAGTGAAAAATGAAGCTTTGAAGGAGCTGGGAATAAAGCTATAGTTCAAATTACTAATAGGTCTAATGCATTTAATGTGGGGAAGGCCTGTATAGTAGCCTCTTGAAGAACTCCCTGAAGCAAGGAGAAAAACTCGAGTTTCACGAAAGTGAATCTGGTAAACATCAAGTAGCTAGCTGGCTTCTTACCTTGTGCAGATGAAAGAGTAGCCCTGGATTTAATGGAGGCTTAATTGCAAGCCAATAGTACTATTTTAAAAAAACTATTTAAATTCAAATACCAAGTGATAAAGGAGAAGGTCGATGTTGGATGTGCATGAAGCAGTAGCTCATCTTTGAGCTGTGCAGGGACTGTAGGCAGAAGGTAGTGAATTGCTGCTATCTTGTAGTGGGGAACCTGTGTCTTGGCATACCAAGGCTTGCTTCTAAATCAGGATGCCAGTCTGCCTGATTAACCTCTTTGCCTGACAGGGACTGTCACTGCAGGTCGTATCTTTAGTATCTGCTATGTCCCAATCACGGGAAGCTGCAGTGTAAGAAAACTTCTGTACTGGCCAGTGTTTTGTGAAAAATGTGTTGTAAGGTTTTCATCTTGGGAGGCAGGGAAGGGAAACCAGTGCAGCTCGACCTCCCTGGTGAGCAGAGGCTGGGGCCAAGGGGAAGGATGAGACATAACTGTCTGTTCTTCCCAGCAAGTTACCTGGAAGTCAGTTGAAGTACCAAGCATCTGAGGAAGAAAGAGGAGAAGAGTTTATTACTAGATTTAATTTGAAGCCTTGTTGTTCCAGCCAGACTGGATAGACATTGACAGCCTTGGTGTGTACTTGCTGCAAAACTTTTAATATGCTGTAAACACTACTGAAATTCGGTTACTGCAGTTCTACATGACAGGGACTGACTCCGTGAGTCAGGTAAAACGTTGACCTAGTAGGGGGTGCCTGGGAAAGGTATTAGATCTGGATGAGCAATAATGATGCCTCGCAAACGCACTCTCCCAGTCAGCAGTGATTTGGGATTTGGAGTGATGTTGGTCACAGGGAGACACAACTGAGACAAAACTACTTAAAACTGGTGGTGGCTGCGCCCTGGAGCTCCTATTCTGCAGGTGAGCCTTAGCACATCTGATGCGTTTATTTTCATTTGAGGTGAATAACTGAAATACCCTGTAAACTAAACTGTATTTTTTTTAGTCAATTGAAATAATTAGTTTAATAAGATGGTATGTCATAATTAAGCAATCATTAAAATGTAATGAAAGATTTTCTTCAAGTGCATGTTGAAGTGTATAAAACTTAATGAAAGGCCTATATACACAGGTGTTCATCTGCTTGCTTTGTGGTTTTTTTCCTCTCCCATTTACAACCAGTAGCAACATACTCCCATAAGCAGGGAATGATGAGGCAGTCAAGTGTTTTTCTCCCATGAAGAACAGGGAACAGAGGATTAAAGTCATTCAGATGTGATGGACAATATGAGGCTGGTAAACATTTTTCCTCACAAAAATCTAAAAGACCTTCCTGAGAATTGATTTCTTGACAAAGTATTTTTATACCTTACTCCAAGGTTCATGTGTTAAAATACAAGAAACTCTATGACTGGAGGAAACAGTGTGTAAGCAATAGATACACAGTGATGGGGATAGTTTCTTCCTAATACAGAGTTGTGGTCTTTTGTGTCCACAGGGCAGATAATTTCTGGAATGCTGTCTTGGGTTTCACAGGCTGTAATTAGCTCCTGGGCTCTAGGAAAGCAGAAGTTCAAGGTGCAGGGAGGGAGCCTGAGGTGCTGTGTGTTACACTCTCCACCATTTCTGGTTATTCAGTTGCCTTAAGGGAAATTCAGTAAGTTGGTGTTTTTGTCTTTTTGTTTTTTTTTCTTTTTTTCCCCTCTCGCTTTCTTCTGAACTTGTATCGTGCTTGAAACACCAAATCACTTAGAGCAAAGCTGTTTCAAAGAAAATGGGTTTGAAGCAGCTCCTGTCCTTGGTGTTCTTGGAAGGAAACCAATGCCAGTACAGCACAGCTTTCAGACACTCTCCATGACAGCTTGCTTCTACCCTTCTTTAAAAAAGTAAACCAAGAAAAAACCTCTCTATCCTCCCCCCCCCCAAAAAAAAACACCAAACAAACAACAAAAACCCCAGGCATTCTAACCACCTATTACTATTTCCTGGTGTTAGTTCCTTGCATCTAGAGCAGTTTAGATGCTGGTTCTGTGTGTTTAAAGTCGACTACTCTCCTTTACTTGGACTTTTCCTTTGACTTCTCCACTGTTCCTTGGC